TGCTGTTTCATAGTAAACACAGTACTTATGTGTAGACGAATCGCTGTACTTAACAATAGCGAAATCTTGGACACCGGGAACCTGGTTTTTTCACTATATTTGTTTTGTTTACTTTTCGTATTCTGTACATTTTCATTGGTAAATTATGCCCATTTTGTTTTGAAAGTATCAATTTTTGCTCAAGAAATTTGAATGACTGATATTGTCTAGAGCCATTTTGTTTCTGAAGTTGAAATATTGAAATAAAGCCTATTTCGTTTTTTCCTGCACTGCTTTTGTCAAATATATATTCTTAGATGACATGACTTTTTTGCCTGTTTGATACTTTATTCAGTAATATCCTTTTCGTGATAATCTTAATTTTTTTGCAGTGTTCGTGGATTTTGACTCGTTTTGGTGAGATGCCTTGTGAAGAGTGATGAGTGATGAGCATTATGGAGTCTCACAGAAGATTCTTCTCATATCTATAAAGATGTATAATCTTTCGTGTGCGGATTGATGGCAGGTTGTGCAAAATGTTTCGTACAAAGTTTGGAATGATTGCAGCTGCTGTTTTTGCTGTTTCTTGGCTGGGTGTTCCAGCTGTACGAAAGAGTGAAGCTACGACCAGCGAAAGTGGCAAAATCTGCACAATCTTTTGTATTTGCTGAGAGAAGCTGCGCCATCACTGTTCCTAGCTCTGAACAAGTGTAGTTTGATCTGGTCCTCTCGATTAACTTAAAGAAGTTGAAGTAGACGGAACGGAAAGTGGTAGAACCCATGCCATCGACTCTCTGATTCTTGACAAAGAAGTTGTGGAAAAGGTACCGGCACAACTGTATCTTGGGAGTACACTGGCCGCAGACAGACAAGTGGCAAACGAAGTTACAAGTCGCTCTGCATTGGCATTAACAGGAAGCAAGAAATTATTCAAGCTCTGGAAGAACATAGATGTTAGCAACAGCACCAAGCAACGCATATGCAGTAAACGTTTTGCTCTGTGGCTTTGAGACGGCAGAACTCAACAGAGCTGAAAACAGGAAACTGCAAGTGACTGAAATGAAGATTTTAAGGTCAATGTTAGGTCTGCCTCCGCGACCCGAAAGGAGAAGCGGCGATGGAAGATGAAGATGAAGATGTTAGGATTAAAGCGGTCGAACGATGTCAGATGCCACTGCAAGAGAAAAATTAGAATATTCATCTAAGGTGATCGATTGACTGCGAATAAAGGAATTGATAATTGACATGGCTAGACCATTGCCAACGAATGGAAGATAACTGCCCTGAGAATCGAATACCGAACCCAAAACTTGATCGCAGATGGCCGTGAGGAAGGTCTCCAATAAGATGGGAAGATCTTGTTAGAACTGACATGACATCGAAAGGACTGAAGAGTGAGCATATATTTATTAGATCCGATTGAAATTCTTGTACGGCACCCGCTTTCGTCTTCTATGCAGTGGAATAAAGAGAATAGCTCATGCAGCATGTTCTCGTATTATGAACTTCAAATTGGGGTTCTAATGCAGAGGCGGTTACAAATTTGTTAATTTTTTCTGAGAGGAATATTCGTGTGACGTCTGTGCGTTGCAGTTGTCAGCTGAAAGAGAGGAGTGAGCCTACCAATTTACAAAACATTTAGTAAGCTTATCATCATTTGCGATTTCAGTTTCATTTGATCTCAATGACCTTTATACTTCAACGTATGCTGAACAGCAGGCAAAACCCTATTGTAAATGACTGTTTTTCCACTAAATTCTCTCCACTCTGCATTGCGATTCAGTCATACATTGATTTTTGAATTTCGTTCGGTTGACTGCCCCAGTTGCCTGCCCGCTGCGTTTTTAATGGGTACAGTCGGCCGCCAAATAGTGACAGGCCTAGCGGACGGGCCAATGGTAGTTTCTGTATAAGAGAACCATCTTGTAGGTCATCATCTCGGTGACTGTGCAAACAGAATCTCCTGTCCCAGATTGAACTAATTCTAATTTAGAAATTCACTTCAAAGTTATGTGAAAATGTATGTAAGCCATCAATTGTATTTTATGATTACTGTAAATGGAATTGACCTAGCTGCAATTTAAGCCTTTCATCGGTACGTAAAAGTGATTGTAAGTCTTGTGTAGCAAATAGAATAATCGATTTTACTCGAATTCAGTGCGACTTGTTTCCAAGGCAACAAGGCCTGGTTTTGCGTCGCTGTCGCCTTCCCATATTTTTTGATTTCATTGCCACATCGCTTGGCGAAGCAAAATGTTTTGGTCTTCGTTCATCTCTTGCCTGTGATATGGACGAAGAGGACACGCGCCAAAGATAGGAAGTACAAAACGCACCCGTTGGACATCACTCCGTAAGTATTTGCATTTCATTCACCATGTTCTCATTGTAAACATTTAAAACAGAGAATATCCGTGCGAAAAATGCTCAGTAATGAACTGCTTTTTTCTGGATTATCGTGTATAAAATTAATTTTTAATTTGTGGTGTTTTCACCTGGAGGCTACGAAAAATCAGCTCTAAGACCAGGCAGGTTATATTGCAACCATTAAAGCGC